TTTTGTCAAATGGCATGCCAACCTTTGAATGGTTGGCTGCCAACCTTTGAAAAGAAAAAAAAAACGTGTGTTTATTTATTTATTTATTTTCAAATTTATTGTGGGTCCCATTTGAGTGGGCACTGCACAACAAATCTCCCCCTGCACACTCAAGTGGGGATGTTAGCCATCATCATCCCTGCAGCTATAATCTATTAGATCTGCCCACCATCTTGTATCGCCGCTACAACTTTGCGGGACACGCCACCCGACCTCCTTTTGTCGGGAAGACTTTCGACACAAGGCACCACCTGCAGATCTTTTTCCGGTCTTAGTCCTGTTGTTACACAGCAACTCTTTGCACGCTTCAGTAATCTTGACTGCCACTTTAGATCTGCCCACCAATCTTGTACCGCCGCTACAACTTTGCGGACACGCCGCCCGAACTCCTTTTGTCCGAAAGACTTTCGACACAAGGCACAACCTACAGATCTTTTTTCCATTTTTTTCTTTCTCTCCATTCGTAGAAGGGCACTGTTTTAGAACTCAATTTAAAGTGATTAGTAAGAGGACAACTACCACGCTTTAGCCACGTTTTCCATTCTAAACCTTTGAAGTACTCTCTCAATGTACTTCTCGTGTGACAACCATAATTTCTTGGCTCTTTGATCTTCATGCCAAGAATTTGCGTTGCTGTTCCCAAGTCTTTCATGGCAAAGACTTACTTAGTTGTTTCTTCAAGCTAGAATTCTAACCAACAATCAACATATCAACCACATAGAGCAAAAACAATGTAGTCATCATCAGAGGATAGAAACACAGTGATCTGAAGTAGTCTTTCTGTAGCCTTGCTCCCCCATAACAGACTCAAACTTCTTGTACCACTGTCTCAGTGCCTGCTTCAAGCCCTTCAAGCCACTACAGAACTTTTCTTCAGTTTGCATAACACAATCCTCTTTTCTACAAACCTCTCTGTTGCTCCATGTATATTTCTTCTTCCAAATCTCCATTTAGGAAGGTAGTCTTTCCATCCATTTGCTCAATTTCCAAATCAAACTGGCGGCCGTTCCGAGCACTGTCCGAAGGATTCATTTTCACAACTAGCTAGCTTTGAATCGTGTTGGAGCTGTGTTCTTCCTGCTTCATCTTGCCACGATCCACTGTTTTCAAAGCTTTCTTGCCTTTGGGCAACTTCCAACCAGCTCAAATGTTTCATCCTCATGGCCATGCAAGGACTTCATTTCATCTTGCACGGCTTCAATCCAGTTCCTCTTATGTTCATTTCCATAGCTTCTTCAAAGCTTTCAGGTTCTCCCCTGTCAGTCATCAATACATATTCATTGACTGGATATCTAGTAGATGGTTGTCAGACTGTACTAGATCTTCTTAATGTTTGAGAAACTTCTGGAGCTGGTGGCTGAACATGAACACCACAATCTTCATCTGGTTTATTTTCATTAGGAACTTCTGGATTTTCTAACTCTGGCACTTGTTCTTATGGAACATTTTCTTCATCTCCAATTTGTTTGCGGTCTATTGGAGGGACTCTCTCTGTATGTCTGTTAAGTCTTCATCAGATCTATTGGCACCCCACTTCAATATCTTCAATAGTTTGATCTTCAACAAATACAGCATCACGATTTCTTATAATCGTCTTTTGGACTGGGTCATAAAACTTATAGCCAAATTGGTCTTGGCCATAGCCAATGAATACACACTGTCGAGTCTTGACATCAAGCTTAGACCGTTCACATCCTTTCCTAACCATACTCTCTCTGGAGTATCATACTGTAGAGGGAAACAGAGTGAACGGCGAACTGCTGTGAGTAACGCTTCACCCTCAATCTTTTAGACAACTTTGCATGTGAGAGTAAACATCTGACTCTCTCCATCAAAGTTTTATTCATCCTCTCAGCCAAATTGTTCAGTTGCGGCATCTTGGGAGGTGTCGTTTGATGTCGAATGGCATGCTCTTTGCAGAAAGCATCAAATGGCTCAATGTATTCTCCACCATTATCTGTCCTGATACACTTCAGCTTCTTGCATATGTGTCTCTCAACCAGGTTTAGAAGACTTCAACGTGTATACCCAAGTCTTTCTAGAATGGTCATCGATAAATATCACAAAATATCGATTTCCACCATATGACATTGTCAATGGTCCACACAAATATGAATGAATTAGATTTAATGCATTCTTCATTCTAGAAGGAGGGGTAATCTTGAAAGCTACTCTGTTTAGCTTTCTAGCCATACAATCAGGACACTTGTCTAGGTGAACTTTAGGTGAACTTCAACCAATCCAGGTAGTATGTTCTTTCTTGCCAGAGCTTTCTTACTCATGTGACATAGTCATTTATGCCACAAGTCAACTGTACTGTCATTCTCTGTTACACTCAAAGTGTCTAGGGAGAATTTCGCATGCATTATGTACAGCTTTCGGTCTTTTAGCTAACCACAAATGAACCTTTTGTGAGCTTCCACTGACCATTTCTGAAGGTGCTACAGAAACCTTCATCATCAAATCTACCAACTGAGATTTGGACACATGCTCGAAAGATCAGTCTTTGTCATCCGGTTTAGTTCAACTAACACAGGCAAATGCTCATCAGTCTTGTCTTCTGGTTTAGTTCAACTAAACACAGGCAAATGCATTTTAATTACCATAAGGAGATCTCTCATTTCTCCATATATGGTAATACGCACCAGACTGATCATTTTGCTTGTCCATTTTGACTTGTGCAGAATATCATCATAAACATAAACCGTATACGTGAACAGTAGTATACGTGAATAGTACTAGTATACAAGAATAGTAATTATACATGTAAATAGTACTATATGTGAATAGCACTTATATGTGAATAGTACTATATGTGAATAGTGCTGGTTTAACAGTGACGGCTCAGCAACAGTAACGCCAATAGTAACTGTTCACCATCAACCACAAGTTACTATTTTACTATTCATCACTAAGTCGATTCTGCAATGTCTTTCGGAGCGAACAATACCAATGGACTCGTCGTAATTTTCTCGTCGTCGTGGTATATTTATTTTTGAAATATATCCACGGATCCGGTACCGCTATCTGACCGGCGTCGAAAACCCTTCGGCTCTGAACCACTTGTTAAAATATCGAACTTGATACCATGTTGGGATCAGCTCTGATACCACTCGTTGGGCCCTTCAACCGAGTAAGAGAAATTAATTGCCCAGCGGAATAATAAAATTGGACACACAGAAATTTACGTGGTTCACCCTCAACTGTTTAGGGCTACGTCCACGGGACGAACTCCGAATAATTCTTCCACTTATTAAAACAATAGTAGGTACAACACAGGAGAGTAGTTACAAAAAATAGTTGCACACAAAGTGTTTCCCAAAAACACTTCCAAAAATAATCCTCACTATTTTTCTCTCCCTTCGTTTTAGGAAGCCCTTTCCTAAAACGCTAACATCTCTTGCTTACCATTTTCTCTTCTGCATGTGTTGTTGTGCGTTTCCCTGCCTCTGCTCTATTTATAGGCAGGTTAACGCTAGAATCCTGCCTATAAATAGAGGCAGAGGCAGAACGCACAAAACATGCAGAAAAAAATGTAGCAAGGAGAGTGTTAGCGTTAGGGAAGGGCTTTCCTAAACGAGAAAATGCCGGGTGATTAACAAACATATAGCAATGGGTTCAGTGCGACCGCCCACATATTGCTATCATGTTGAACTGGCTGCTCTATTTTTTTTTACTTTCACACTATGTGGGTCCCATTTAAAGTGGCACACACAAACCTAAAAAATGAATAGACTACATTTTGGAAACAGACAGAAAAAAAAAAAAGTGAGCCTCTCTCTCTCTCTCTCTCTCCTCTCTCTCTCTCTCATCTCTCTCTCTCTCTCTCTCTCTCTCTACTCTCTCTCTCTCTCTCTCTCTCTATATATAATATATATATATATATATATATATATATATATGAAAATTAGAGGAGAATTTTCTATTCCTCGAGATCAATGCAAAAACTTCGACGAGCAACTTTAATTGAAATGGTTATATATATATGAAATAGAGGAGAATTTTCTTTCCTCGAGATCAATGCAAAAAACTTCGACGAGCAACTTTAATTGAATATGGTAAAATATAATCCTATAAGCTCTCATTGCTTATTAGCACAAATGACACATTAAATATGGATTCTAACTTAATTATCAAAAACTAATTTATTTAGTTCAAAACTTGAAATATAATTAAATTAAATATAAAGGAACGAAATGACAACCGGACACTATTTTTGGTCTAACATTTTAGTGGACCAAGAACTTAATAGATCAAAATAAATATTTTGATGATCTAGAGCTAGAATGCCTGTGGGCCGAAGGGAATGTCCTTGTTTTGAAACAAATCCATTTAATTTCACCATCTACATTTCCATTGGATAAAACTTAACTTCTTTCCCCTACACCAAACCCCGAATCGAATCATATACAACAAAATTAAACTGAATTAATCAGTTTTATTCAATTTCAATTGGCCTAATGTATAAATTTACCTCTAAAATTTATGCGTTTTATTTTATAGCACTCTCAAATTTACAGGGACCTATCATGACCCTATACTTTCATATTCTAACAATAATTATACTTCTCATTAAAATAAAATATAAAAGTACATAGTCATAATTAAATTCTTGAAAAATTATTTTACTTTTGACAAGAAACATAATTATTACTGAAATATAAAAATATAATGTCATGATAAGTCCTTACAAACTTAAATCACCATAAGACAAATCGTGTAAATTTTAGAGGTAAATCTATGCATTTAGCCGATTTTAATTATTTGTGGATAGTTTTTAATAAAAAACTGAACCGAAGCAAACCGAGAAAAAAAAAATTCAATAGAAACTAGAAAGAGCAAGCGGATTAGTAGCCCCGGATCATGGATTTCGCACTAAATCCACCTGCTGCTGGTTTTGAGCTCCCAGTATAAGAAGGATGCTTGCTTTTCTAAGGAAAAACAATCAACAATATCGCGGGTAGCAGGATGATTATGTGAATTTAATATTATAAAATTTTGAAGGCTCAGAAGCTCCAACAAGTTTCTTTACTGAAATTTGCAAATACTACTAAAATTAAAGTCTAGCAATAGAAGTTTGAATATTTTTCTGTTTTTCGAGTATTAACCAGAAGGCGCATTACTTTTTGCTGTAGAAGACTCACCTTAACTAGGAAAGACTGGGGGAATGAAATATGAGAGGGTAGGTACAGCAAAATCCACTGCTCCAACACTGCACCAGAAAGAGTCATTGCATAATTTATTTTTCAAGGTTAGTGGTTATTAAGACTCTGAAACGGCATAACTTCCAGTATATTACAAACAAAACTAAATTCCTATCAAAATAATATTGCTCGAGTTTTGACATATGAATAACATGTATAAGAAATATTCATCCAAGACTAATTTTGAGAAAGCACAGAAAAGGCACATGGCAGCTATTTTGTTTATATTAATTTCAGAACCCTATTATAAACCAAATCAATTCGATGTAGTAGTCTATCATATTAATGAATGGCCAAATATAAATATTGTATGGAGAATCTCAGATGAGCCAGTTACATCCTAATAATACTATAAGGATGCTATATCATATGGAGAATATTAATCAAAATTCACAATTATCACAACATTCCTTTGATGCATGAAACTAAGAGAAATTGCTTACAAGTAAATACACAATTCCTTTTGAAAAATCATTTTAAAATATAAGATAAATTTTAGATAGGTACGCAAATTTTTAGTTTGTTGCCAATTTCTTGAAGTAGGTAGTTTGAAATACAACTAAAAAAAAATTAAACAAAATTTGACAAGCAAACAAGCCTCATTTGTCATATAGATATAGAATAAGAGTGACAAGAAATTCAAGGATCTAGAAAGCTTACAACAGAAAGCAATGGTCCCTGTTTGAACTTGTCATGATATGAAAATGAAATTGGCTTTGGATTGTCTCCAGGCCCTCTAATAAACCCACTGTATTCAAATCAAATCACGAAAATTCAAAATTATAAACCAGCTATAGAGACTATTTAATCACTCTAGTCTAATTGCATTTGTATATGAATGTACAAAACAGAACCAATAGCTGAAATATTGAAAATAAAACAGTTCATGATAAATTGACAATAAAAGATAACTCACATTAATGATGCAGAAATCAGCGGAGTCCTTCTAGCATCATATACAGCAATGAGACCCTTGTAAACATCATCCCCTCCTTTATAAGATACTGCTAACCTTTCACCTGAAGCATCCCAGGCTATCTTGTCAATTCCCTGACTGCACAAGTAACATGAGATAATAACCATTCTGAAAGAATCATCATGAACAAGAACCATATTGACCCAAATATAAGGAATAAAAAGAAAAGATAAAGCAAACATTACACAGCAGCAATAAGAATATCAAGTTACCCTGAATTAAGAATTCAAAATGAAATTCAAAAAAGAGATCACATTAAACTCAAATGTGTGGTTCCAAGAAAAATGAGCGGTAAAACCTCCAATTAGATAAACAATAATCATTCTACCAAATGTTGAATTTGGTATCAGGGTCACATGCACAGTTTTAGACAACTTGCAATATAATACCCAAAAGAAAGATTGTGTTAAACATTTTGGCAGGAGGGTGGGGGTTTGTGGAGGAAATGCAATATCATATCACTCTGATAAAAAAGCATAATAGATTTTGATCAACAACCACAAAAGATAATTAAGTTATCTGAATCTAGTTAGAGTCACCTACGTAAATCCTTTTTATCTATTCCACACAAATTTTTAAGGAAGGTTCAAAGATGCTAAATGCTTATGACCCCTTCAACGCATGTCATCTGTGGTGCACCTCTCCCATTTTTCACTCCTAAATAGGACAGGCTCACCCTTTAATACCAGAACGTCTATCAGTCTACACAGAATAAGGTCAAACCATCTCAATCTTCAATTGCTCCACTTTTCCTCAAAAAATGTTACTTCAACCTTCCTCTGAAGGTACTTACTCCCTCCTTATTTCCACACACATACACTTCAACATCTCCATCTCTACAGCTCAACCTCTAGGCCTTTATTTTCTTCAAAATCCAAAATTTGCTCCCATAGATCATAGCTCATATAGATTGATTAGAAATTTTTACAGAAGTTTTTCCTTTGACTCAGCAACGTTAGAATAATCACATAAGATACACATAGCACTTCTTCATTAAAGCTATCATGCCCTAATGATATTCTCCTCACACTCCCTTTCTTTCCGCTAATAAATTGATGTACCAATAGTGACCCTTTTTGGGATCCTATGCTACAAATACCCATATTTTATTATTTTTCCTTGTGTTGCTAAACTGATTTCCATAACTCTATTTTAGTTGTACTTAACATGAAGACTTGGGATGGATCTCCATAAATCCAACTTTTGTAACTCGACTGGGTTTGGTCTGCATATATCATGATGGTAATTCATAAATCGACTCTGTAAATTTTTATAGCCTTCTTGGAAAGAGAAGAATAGTTAGTGAAAGAAATATTGGGAAAGATGGGGAGGTGGTGAATCAGAGAATCTACTGAATGGAAAGCTTGAGGAAAAGATGGGATAGATTTGAAAAAGTGAAACTTTCCTCCAGTCCCACCAAAATGCTTCTCAGATTTTGAAAGAACAGCCATGGAAGGCAAGAATTTTCAAGTACATGGAATGAAAATTACTCTTTTACCCCACTGCTATTATATGTATATTTCTGCAGGTGTGGAAAACTATGAAAGTAATTTTACACTTCATTCCTTTCTTCTTTCGTCTTGTTCCTTTTTTTTTTTTTTACACCTCCCAAATAATAAAAAAAAATTTTCACCTTTCCTTTTTCTTGCTTTCCACCCCTTTCCAAAGAAGCTCTTTCCTCAATGTTCTCCTCCTATCCCTCAATATCCTTCTCCTATCTCTTTCTTTCTCTACCGTTTCTTTCCTGACCCAGCTTGTTTTCCAAACTAAGTGTTGTAGTACGACTCATGGGCTTAATTCTCAATGATTGATGCACCTTTGGAATATCTCAAGCAAATTGATCCTTCATTCCTCATAAAAAATATTTTATTTAAAAATCTTATCAAACAATCTACTCAACAACACGACTCTTATATCTCCAAGAACTTCTAAACCTAAATAAGAACTTTGTCAGGACCACATCTTCTTCTTATCTTCATTTACACAACCTAACCTCAAATGACCTAATTTTTACACTTTTCTCTCATCCACTTTATCTTTAGTGCAGACTATGTTAACCCTTTTACCTATCATATCCACTGGCTCCACCAGCTTTCTTGCTAATTTCCTAATATTATGAGAACACTAGAAAAGCCTACCGTCACAAACTAGGTTCTCATACACACTCCATCATAATGCAGCAGGCCTGGTATATTCTTACCACATCCAAGTACAGATATGGAGCATTACTTATAGGGGATGCCATTACTTTCTGAACTAACTCTTTATCCACATTATTTGTTAAAACATGGTAAGTTTTGGCTATTAAGAACTAAACGTCTAGAACTGTTGAGAATTATAATTGAAAAGAAAAAAAAGAAAAAAAGAAAAGAATTCACAGTCATGCATCCAATTATACTACACTATTGAGATAGAGAAGCGAAACTTATTATTGATGAGCAATCCATAGAAATAAGAACATAAACAAGAGCCATACCCAACATCGTACACTTATATCAGTAAATAAAAAATGATAGAAGATGCTCAGCATCCATCCAAACATCTTCCACTTCCATCTAATTTAAGAGTCAGTTCAGTCATACTTTGAGAATTATAACGAAAGAAAAACTAGAGCTAATTTCAAGGAAGTAATCTTGTCTCTACCTTCCTGTCAAGGATATTATCTCTGGCAAATCAACTGGTAACAGGTGTGCATCTGCAGATATTAGAAAACTATAGTCATGCCTATCAGCATAAAAAGATGAACCCGTGTATAAATCAATCAAATTGAGGACTTGAAACTCAAAAGCAGCAGCAGCTTATAAAAATATCTAGCAGAAAATTCCGCTCTCAAAATCACTCTGTTTGTCCATTCAATTTTTCATCCATCTGTTCTGAGAAGAGCATTCAAAAATGAAATAGAATCAAATTTGAGAATAACAATTTTTTTTGTTACATATAACTAAGGATGTCAAAATGGGTCATAACACACAAATACGATTCGGCTAACATGCGAAATAAACAGATTAGGATTGAGATTAAACGGGTTCATGTCATAAACGGTCAACCATCTATGACAGGAATATAAACGTGTCGTGTCACGGTTGACACAAGAATTAGGCGAGTGATTCGTTTATTTAAGAGTAAAGAGGTAATTTTAGTATCATATAAATACTCCAACTAAAACCCATTTAAACTTTATTGTTGTATTAATTTTTTTTATTTTAGTCATGAATCTTGAAAAATCTATGCATTTTATGTATGAATATTTATTTTTAAATATGTTGTTGTATTAATTTTTTATTGTTGTATTAATTTTTTTTATTTTAGTCATGAATCTTGAAAAATCTATGCATTTTATGTATGAATATTTATTTTTAAATATGATTTTGAGTTAAATAAGTTAAAATTTAAAAATATTATAAGTAGGTTAGATTGGTCGTATATAGGTCAATACGACCCACTTAACCAGTTTACGATATTAGGTGGGTTACAGGAGTTGTATATGAGTCAACACGACCCACTTAACCTGTTTATAATATTAGGCAAGTTACACATGTCGTGTTCATGTTATCTACCTAATTTTCGTGTCATGTTCATGTCCACAAATTTGACACAATTATTAAACCGGTTGTGTTTGTGTTGACTTTAATCGTGTCGAACTCGACACGTCAACCCGTTTGACACCCCTATATCCAATTAAACATCTTCTCTTGCTTGAAAATAATCAACTTGAGCATGCTACCTCAGCATTCCCTTCAAAAAGCACATTCTGGCAGTTTCCTTGGCCTTCCTACATATGTTGCTCAATTCTAACAAAAGTCAATATGGTGCTTGATGCTTTGTACAATTTTTTTTCTTTTTATCATCAATATTGTCTTTATAATCAATGCCAAAAACAAACACAGGACATAAACCAAAAGAAATGGTTTTATGAATAGGTGACATTTCAAATATTACAGTTATTGCAATATATGTAAGAATTGAATTATGGTGTCAACTTTCAATTGCTTCAAATGTTACAATAAGAAACCATCCATAATTACTATATTTTATTTTTTTGTAAATCCTCAATGAGCAACCATCCAACTAAAAAATTTGTCACAACTAAAGCTACATAAGTCCACTACAATTGATCTTTTTTTGCATATTTTTTGTTTCATAAGGAGAGCAAGTTTCTTTCAAAATTATTGAGAGGTGCATTGTGCTTGTTTACAATTATTTGACAATTTTAAATTTGACTGTCTAAATTAAACTTCCTTTTATTTGTTGTTTCCTAGGTTTTCTTTTTTCTTTCGTTTTTTATTCTAAATTGAACTTGCATTTATTGGTTGTTTTCTTATTGTTTTTTTTTTCTTTTTGGTTTCTATATCAAAATTGCTTTTGTAGGTATTGTACTATCAGAATACCTAAGCAACTATAAATTCATTGCACTCACAAAGTTGACCAGGTGGTGATCCCATTCTTACACACACACACACACACACACACACACACATAAATGTAGAGTTTTTATGATTAATTGTATCAATTCTCCATGTTCATAATAACATAGAGAAAATAAATGGTCTGTTATAAAAAATCTATTGAATTTGGTGCTTGAATTTTGTCTATTTTTCTATTTAAGTGTCCCAAATTTATTTTTATTAATCAAGTACCTTTACATCTGGCTCCAAACACCAACTACCATACGTATTGTAATTGTACAGAAGAAAGCTATCTATTTTTCTTATTAGATCTTTGAAACATGATTCACAGGCCATGCAGCACAACCAAGTTAGGTAACAAAACATTATAACTTAAAGGATTTTCAACACAAGGTACTATTATCTTTATTTTATTTTATTTTTTTAACCAACTTTGCTTTTTATATTTATTGTATAATCCTATCAATTCAATTTTTCTTTATATATGTAAAATAATTTTGATTGTATGTGTTTGTAATACTACTATTATACATGTACATAACAACAAATAAGAGAAATAAATTACTGGGTGAAAATAGTTGATATTAGTTTTGTTAGTAAGTACTTAATTCATTAACATTAAAATTAATTTACTACATATGAAAAGATTCTCTCTCTCTCTCATATATATATATAATGTGGGTATGCATTTTAGTTTGTATAATCAAATATAGATTAAAATTTAATTAAAATAAAAATATAATTATATATAAACAAATTAAATAACGGGTATATACAACGAGAAACAAGTTGCAGGATAATAAAAGCTAGTTACTTAAAAAATCCCAAACTTTAACATGTTTTTAAATTCTGACATAATCATTTTTTCTTAACAAAAAAAAAAAAAAAAAAAAAATTTTTAAATTCTGACATAATCATTTTTTTTCTTAACAAAAAAAAAAAAAAAAAAAAACGTCAATCTAATAAACAGATTTCAATATAGCCTTTAAAAAAAAAAAAAAAAAAAAAAACTCAATCTAATAAACAGATTTCAATATTAGCCTTTGACTCAATTATGGTACAATTAAATCTCAATTTGCTGGTGTGGATTAGTCTTTTAAATGAAAAAGAAAATCCAACAACAATTCCAGCCTCGCCAACCCACCAAGGCACACTAAAAGCATCTTTTAGTCCCAAATTCCCACTTCTTTACCTTTTACAAGAATTTGATGGGGAAAAAACGAATTAAAAAGGGAGGGGCGCATGGGTTTAAATGACGCGTTTAACATATTTCGTAAAACTGACAGGATTCAATATTGTTGTTTAAATTTACCAATTGAATTGAATGCTAATATTGAAATTAACTTATTAAGCTTACTATTTTTTATTAAAAAATAAAGGTTATTTTATAACTGAAAAACACATTAAATGTTTGGATTTTCAAGCAATTAAGTCCAGCAAAAACACTAATCCTTTTAAATTTCTTTACAAAGTTGAACTTCATAATGCAACTAAGGACTTTCTGCAACCCTAAATCTACAGAAACTCCAGGGAAGATAATGATATTCTGAGTACCTAACTTTTTGCAATTTTCTATTGGAATGCCCAAAATTTTTTTGTGAAATTTTATAAAAATAAAAGGAAAAAAAAGCAATTAAATGATGGTGAACTAAATTAATAAATTTAAGCTTTTCTTGCAATCATATTGTCTATTTTACTTAGCAAGGAAAAAACAAAAACTGTACCCCTCACAAATTGCCCACTCCAACATCTTCTCAGCCTTTTTTCTCTCTCTTGCTCTTCCCTTTTCCATGAACTCTAAATCCCAAATCATTGATCATGTGATCAACTTTCTTTAATTGATTTAAGACAGGATAAAATGGTCGTTCAGAAGAGATTTCTAAGATATTTCAAATTTCTGTCTTTATTAAGTTCTTGAGCATTCACAGAGATGTCATGTTAGGGGCAAACTTTTAATGAAAGTTATCAATGTATCTGCTAGCATGGCAAGTTATATCATGTTGATTCATCAGGCACATCCAGTCACCAAGTAAGCAAAAAACACTTCATTAATTTTTTTTCCTGATTCAAGTAGTCACTTGCATAAGTATAAATTGGAAGTCCAGACCAACTCTAGTATTCAACATCACAAAGGATTGAAAATAATCCAATATGTCAAATCTCTGACTATAATTTCAAATCATATGACCTTAAATTTTACTCTTTGTCCAGTCTATTGTTTTTTGCAGCAAGGTGCATAACTACATGGAAAAAAAACTCAAAGGTTCAATCAGCATACCTAAAGATGGAGGCTTTGATGCAAAGTGAATAGAACCCAATGTTGCAGACCCAGAGAAAGCGAGCAGTACCACACGCCCATCTGGATCCCATGTTGCTCCCTGGTAGCAGAAGACATGGCATGACTAATAGTTGAAGCAAGTAAATCTTTCAAAAAAATGAAGAAAAGCATCCAATGAATGTCAAACTTTTCTATGACCATGTTGAAATTTTGAAACAATAGCTTCACAAGAACCACATTCAGATTTTGAAATAATAAAAGGGAAACAGAGAGATAGAATATCGTAACTTATTAACTATTTTTTACATTTTTTTTCTATTAATTTGCTTATTTGTGGAGGAAATGTGAAAATTTCATCAAGTAACAATAAGAATTTAGAAGTCCAAAAAAGAGGTAGATCAATGTCACTGATCACAGCAGTCAAAAGAAGTACATAAAACAAGAAACTAGAATAAGAGTTCAAACTGCCAATTTAATACCTCTATGATCTTCAACATCTCGTGAGTTATATGCATGAATTAAGAAGTCATCTATAATGGCACAAGTATCATTTTGTATTTACCGTGACAAACCCACTAGTTGAAGACCATGGTTCAGATGTCCATGTGTTTGTCTCCCAAAGGTAAAATGTTCCATCACTAATTAATGGGGCAAAAAAAAAAAAAAAAAAATCATTAGCCTATATCTGCTCAGATGGATCAGTACTTCATCCAAAAAGTAAACAAACAAGACTTATAAACATACAATTTTGCAGCGAAAAAGTAATCTCCTGTTGGTGACCATTTGAGCATTGATATGCCCCCCAAACCCCGTCTGATGGGCGTTCCAACTCCTACAAATTATAAAAAATAAATAAATAAATAAAGATGGTCAATGCTAAATACAAATTATAAAAAATAAATAAATAAATAAAGATGGTCAATGCTAAAAATAGAGACTACATATCAATTAAAAAATTACTACCAAGCCCAGGAATATATTTCTCTTTTCTCTTCTTCTTTGTTTCTTTTAACCAAAGAGAGAGAAAAAGAATTGAAGGAAACCAAAGTGCTGAACCACAAAAAAATAGATCATGACAGTAAAATAAACAAATAAACAAATTTCTATGGCAATTGCATATCACAATGTATTGCTTTTACTAAACCAAGAACTCAAAGTATTAAGCCACTTATCTTTAAAACAACTCTTTCCAATCAAAACCTTTCCTATTCCCACTACACAATGCATAAAATAGTTAGAGGAATTAAAGTAATAAGTTTTTTTTTTTTCTTTCCAAGAGCATAAAACCATTTAAACACACAATTCCCTTTTAGTTGATTCTAACACTATGCAAGAAACTCCATCAACATGGTAACAAAATTTGCACTGCTTTTGCCTTTTCTGGAGGTTATCTTGGCTCAACATCATATTCTTTGGTTATGATCCTTTCACATGCAGCTTTCTAAGGTCAAGGGTACCACAATAGTGAGGTGTCCCAAGTCACAACCATATTCTACTGGTTGCAAATATTATTATCGTATTTTCAAAAAAAAAGGCAATGAGAGTTTCATCAAATAAATATACAGTGTATCAATAATCTGAGCACATAAAATAACTACTTATCAAGAAGAAATTATAGTTTCTTGTAAGAGCTGATATCATAAATTATTAGATACACATCTTGCAACAAAAGAAAAAATTAAATTGACAATTGAGATTAAATTGTTAATTAATAAAAAAAATAGCAAACTTAATTTTAAAATTATTTCATGCAATAGTCATGTTTTAACAAAAAGTTGATCGAAAAATTTACAAACAAGGGAGAGTCCAAAAACAAAGTAAGGCGAAATAAATAATGAAATAGTTTAAAAATGTCATTGACAAGCTCAAAAGGGCAATTAGAAACTAGGATTTTAAAAAGAGAGACAAACTGATGACTTATGACCAAGCACACACCTTGCCCCCCCCCCCCCCAATTAGAAAACTAGGATTTTAAAAAGAGAGACAAACTGATGACTTATGACAAAAGCACACACCTTGCACGCCCCCCCCCCCTCTCCTCTCATCACTATTCTGCTCTCGCACAACCCCATTTATGGCCATAACATGGTGCAGATTCATTCTACTCAGCATAAATAGGCCAAGACCCCCCCCTCTCTCTCTCACTATTCTGCTCTCGCACAACCCATTATGGCCATAACAATGGTGCAGATTCATTCTATCTCAGCATAAATAGGCCAAGATGGTATATACGCTCTAGTTCACCAATGACTTCAATTCCCCATACTAGCACATGCCTAGAACTATAATGTCTAGACAACTTTCAATTAAGAACCAGCCCACATATTGACCATTATTTAAAACCTCTACCTAAATTAACTTTCATATGAAGTGCACCCTCCCAAGTAACAAGAGCATAAGAATATTTAAGATCTAAAACTTCTCTTATTTTCCTAGAAATAAATAGCATCCTCTCTAACACCTCTCCCACCAAGGTAGCCCGAAATAAAGGTTACATGCAACATGATATACGTGCATATCTAATGCACACAAATGAAGTACACAAGGAAAAATATCATACTAATCTTTTGAGCTTAGGAAGTTGAAAAGTAGTTCGTTGATTAACAATTGGCTGATACTATTCATAACAATTATGACATTGCGATGGTCAATTTACCTTGTGCGACATCCCATATGGTGAATGACGAGCTTTCATATGACGCAGATGCCAAGTACGTGAAGCCAAGTCAAGGAAATAAAACAACTAACATCAGAAACTAATCCAAACACAATAGTTTGCATATGAGAACTTTGGCTCAATTGAGCTGAGTATGAAGACCAAGGATAATGTTGTTGAAGAAAAACTAAACCTATAAACCTTTAATGCAAACGCAACCATGTCCATGTGAACAGAAGGTAGGTTAATGTGAAAGAGTTAACTACGAGCAAAGACCAAGAGAAGACAACTCAGATGTCATCCGCAACTTGTCTAAGCAATGAAATAAATTTCACATAATACAAATAACTATTATTATAATTATTTGGATATCTTCCATCAGGACTCCAAGAAAGTGCACTTATTTGTTCATCATTATGACTTCGGAGAAAATCCACCAGAGTCCACCGAGTTCCAGTGCTTCTAGAAAGAGTACCCAAGTATGAAGCAGTGCCAGATCTTACAGATGCCACATTTCCAGGATATGATGCAGTCCAAATGCAAACTCCACCCCTGAAATTCAGTTCAATTAAAGATAATCCACACAAGCTCAATGAATAAACCATATAAAAGAGATCACATACAATAAACCATTAATAGATTAAAATCATACTAAAAGATAAGCTTTTTGATACTTGCTTGCATCCTACAGAAAGTGATTTTCCACCATTTGGCCTCCATTCAAGGACTTTAATGTCTCTTTGGGACTCACAAGTCAAGACAGAAGCATCTTTCCCTTCTGCTGAAAAATAAGAATTTGCATTGAAATATCTTTAAAAGAGTAAAATGGAATGCCTCTAATCAACAGAACTCAGTGATCCTGAATTGTTGGAATCATGTCCAACAAGGGTATAGAGGTGAAACCTGAATCTTCATAATCACGAATTATAACCTGATTTGGACCAGCGATAAATGCAATAATATGTTTATGTTGGTGCCAGCTCACCCCTTTAAAGTCAACCTCCGGCAACAAGTTTACCTACAAGACTCATTATAGGAGAATAAAAAAGTATAAAATGTTTGTGCTCAATAACAAGCAGCTAAAATATACGTTAATCTGCTTCTAGATAAATAGTAACACAACTCAAACCTAAACTACAACATCCTCATGGGTATAAACACATAAAAATATAATGAAAAGTTAATTCCTTCTTCATAGTGGACACAGACTCCACACCCGGCTGACACAAAATACATATATCTAGGCTTCTCCACAAACAATTTACTGTTATTTTCCAGACACTTCTCTCCTAATTGCACCGGTTCTTTTTCTCTTTCCATATTCTCAAATATACAGACATCTGCAGGAAAAACACACAATCATACTATGGTTGTTTTGGTGGGATAACAAATCCTCATTGTTAAAGAAACAGCAGCTTAGACGATTATCTTTCAATTTTGCATCCAAAACTGATATTTCAAGTAAAATAGATTTAAGATATCTAGATAATGATATGATAAATATGATCTTCAGGAGAAAACTCAACTAACCCTTAGTCCCAACTAGATAAGAAAATGGGCCCTATGTTGAGGAGAAAAGAGTAGATAATTATTTGAATTGAATTACCACCTTAGGTGTAAGGCCAAAAAATTAGCTAATCAAATCAAATATGAAATATAATCTCTTAATCTTCTATCTCAAAGCAAAAGAAGCTAACTTACAGAGCTTAAAAATAATAATACGAAATGCAATAAAAAGGAGATTTAGATGGTATAGCTTACATAATTGGGATGAAAAATGCTTTTGATTGAATTATTAGCAAAAACCTGAATGGCTTTCAATAAACCATTCTTCTCAGTACTCTCTCCACTGGGTCTTCCTTGCCCTTGTGTTTCCTGCTCCTCAATAGGGACTGCCGGTTGATAAGTTTGAAATTGAATTGGGCTAAAAACCATTCCCTAATTAGCATTAATTCTCAACGTCAACAACAAAGAACAAAGCCCTCTGGCTTTATATGGATCAAAACTAAGCTAAACATAAACTTATAAAACCAATGAGGAGGGGATACCAGAATTTTTCCATAAATTTCCTTGGCTTGATCATCTGAGAGACTCTCAGCTGCAACTGCAAGTGACAAAGAAGTGTTCAGAGAAGATCAATTTTCAAAATGAATCAAAACCCTAACCTATGAGTTAGAGAATTATACTTAGATCTCTGTTGATTTCACAGATAGTGACAGAACCAGGCTGTGGAAACGAAGGCATAGTTAACGTTACAATGTTAGAGAAACAGAGAAAGATGAGAGGATGAGTGTAGTTGCGACGGAAAGACGAACTGAAGAAATGGGCGGCGGGAAAATGGCAGTAAGTTTGGGGCTTTATTTCTCCATCTCAGACGGCGTCGTTTGGACTCAGCGCTCATATTAACCGAACCGAATCAAGTCGGTTCGGTATATGACCGAAACCGAATGCTTCTCTATTTGTCTCACCTGACTGTTTCTATCAACTCATCTTGCAATAAACCAAACCAAACCAAAAAAATTTCACTCTAGTCTCTGAACACAATCCCATCGGAAATCACAGTTCAGAGCCAGATATCGCAAAATGTACTTCACGTTCTGTTTTCTCAGTAGCGCGCTCTCACTTGCTTCGCCAATCGGTTTGGTACCAGTCTCGTCTCTCTCAGTTTCTCTACTGTGAATCATCTCAAAAACGCGTCTCTCCTCCTTCCTGTCTCCTTTTTTTCGGTTCTCTGGTAAGCCATTCTATTCACTGTTTCCTGCTTTCTTTCATTGTTATCTTTTTGCCTCTTATTTTTGATTATGAATTTAAAGCCATTGTTTTCGGCATCAACGAAACTGTCTCCTGTTTTGGTTTCGTTCTCTTCATTTCTATTCTATTTCCTTGTTCTCAGTTAAAGCCTTTGTTTTTGGCATTTAGTTTTTCTCAGTTGTTGTAATTCTAAAATTCTTGTTCAACAGATACATTTTTCTTATGTATTTTTCTTTAATTTACTGCTGTTTTTAATTTTTTTAAAGTGTTCATTAACTCGTGGTTTCAAGATAAAGTCGATTTCTCAGAAATATAAACTCTTAATTTCACACCCAAAATTGGTTTCCAGTTTATTGATGACTCTTATTGTTAAATCAATTTAGTCTAGCAGTTTTTTTAATCTGGTGTTCGTTGATTCTGAAATATTTGTTAAACTGAACTCTCTTTTGGGAATTATTCAAATTGAATCTTTGTTTGCCTAAAATCAAAAACTGATTTACTTTTTCTTTGTTCAGTTACTGCATTTTTGGAATTTTGCTAAATTGTTTTAGTATTTCTATGGCTTAAAAAATTATATATATAATCTCAGTTTTATAGAATCTTGTTTCCTAAACTATATTTCTAGACTTACAAAAATCATTTTGTGATCGAACCTTTTTATACTGATTCTCTACAGTGAATGTTTATTAGATCTTTGTCATTTATTTATTTATTTATTTATTCTTTCTTAGTACATTTGGTATCTGTAAAGTGAAGACTTTCTAACCAACTTAAAAAAAAAAAAAAAAAAAAAAAAAAAAAAAAAAAATATTTATTTATTTCTTTTCTTAGTACATTTGGTATCTGTAAGTGAGACTTCTAACCAACTTAAAAAAAAAAAAAAAAAAAAAAAAAAAAAAAAAAAAAAAAAAAAAAAAAAAAAAAAAATTTCATTGAATAAGTCTTTCTGTGAACTTAGTTTAGGGCAATTGTTTTTTAAATTTGGTTTCGTGATTTTAATTTCTAATCATAACTGATTTTGGATATTTACCCTTTTATTTAACACTTAAAACAACTGTTTTAGATCCACTTAAGACCTGTTTCTGCGTATAAGTTCATCTTATTTTTCTCCTGCTAATGTATTGCTATTGCTGCTGGTTAATATGGTGGTGTTTTCCTTTTTTTTTTTTTTTGGGTTGAGAATATATAAAAATTGAGTTTTTAAATAAAAAAAAAAAGTTGTTTTTCTTTTGAATTGCAATCTCTAATCTCATGGTCTGCTATTAGTTATTAGCTGCAGAACTGCCTGCCATTTTTAAGGTGGTGTATCTTATATCTCCAATGAGATTGTACTTAGGGCTTGACATAAGAGTAATCTTACTTATGCTGATATGTGTCTAATCACTTGTCTCTTACAAGGTCATTCCTTAAACTTTCCTGAAATCATGATTCACACCATGAGTCATCCCCTTCTTGAGTTGCTACAAGGGACAACACCATTAAATTTTTTAAATCGTCCTAAATCAACTTTTGCACAAACCTCACCCCTTAACCCAAACAAAGCTTTTCCGTTCCACAGTGCATTGTTTTACAATTGTCTTTCCTAGAAACCAAATGGCATTGTGCTGCTATTTTTGCCACTTAGTGTGAGATATTGTGGTTGAAACAATTTTTATTTCCTTTTTTTAGTGCCCGAAACAATAAGACTCAAGTTGATTAAATATATTTTAATAATATATTTAATATAAAATAGAAATTTAATATTAAATATATTATTTAAATATATTATTAAATATATTATATATTGTTAACTATATTTAATATATATAAATATATATAGAATCTTTGAAAAAGACCTTCCCTCAACAGAAAGACTTACTCTCTTTGGGATCTAGTGCTACACCGTTGCTCAATACTTTAGGAGATCAACTCTGTTACATATTTTCCTAACTTTTTGTCTCATATTATTGGACATAAGTAGCAGTCTTATTGTATCGGCCAAAAAATTCCAACTATTGATCTTTACGATGCTTCCATCTACAATAGATCCTTTATCCATAGAATAAAGTATCTAGACTTTTTTTTGTTTCTGTTACATAATTTGATTTGATAGTTCTTTCTTACTTACAGCTGATAAAAATCATTGTTTTGAGTAGATGCATGATGTAGAAAGGCCTTCAATATCTACTAAACTTGCTTTGAGCTTTTCTCTATGATATACAAAATTTTTCCAATGGCTCATCTAGGGTTATGTTTTGGCCATGGAATTAGATATGTGGTTTTGTACATAAAGCTTGGAAGGAAGTGGGCTTCCTCAATATTGGCTCTTACTTCCGGTAATGAAACAGCCTTCCATATTGATCCATAAAATGTTAATATCTGTTTATACAGGCATACTCTGATAGGCTTTTTTTTTGTTTTTTCTTTTCTCTTCTTAAAAAAAATTTAAATGTGTAGATGAGCCATTGAAGGCAGCTTTCTACTTATTAACTATGATCCAACTGGACCATTCACGGTTGTTGTCTACCCATGTAAGTTGAAAAATTGTGCTTTAATTTGATATTGTTTCTCATCTTTTTACTGAACTTTAGTGATTATTTTCTTTTTTATTTCATTCTTTACTGGTTGGTGCTTATTTCACTTGATACTATGATTATTGTGTGTTTTGTAGCTTGCGTATTTTTCATTTGAACAAGAAACTGTTTGGATGCAGGGAGTATTGATAATGGATAATCTGTAAATTTAGGAACTTGTTTTCATTCTTAATCTTTCAATTATCCTCGAATATATATATTATATGATGAAATACTTAATTGCCTTGTATTTTCTATTGAAGAAAATTCTTGACGTGGCTTCTTTCGGCAAACTCGTGGATGATTCATAACGTAATTGGACTTGGTTAAATAGTGGTTAGGTTCAAGAAAGATGAGCAGCTCAGCAGCACGATTGTGTTGGGAAGCTCTCCCACTTGCAACGGTGCAAGAATATAATTCCTGGGGAAAGGAGAGAATCTAATATGATATGATACTTGCTGCTTTTGTAGCTCAAACTTAAAAGTATATTTATTGACTATCATGCCATTATGAAATTATAGCCTGTTTTTGCCTTGTACACCATGCTTTTTTGTACCTCCAACCATGGGTTGTTGACTTATTAATGTGGTCTGCAATCTTGGACTTTGTACATTCCTCGTTCTGCTCAAACTGCAGTTTTTCCTCATGCATGCCTTCTTTCCTTCAAAATATTCCTACAAAACACCTTTACATCTCTATCTCTCTCTCTCTCTTCTCTCTCTCTCTCTCTCTCTCTCTCTCTCTCTTCCGGCCGCGAAATGATCTTTTTTATCTAAGCTATCTGTCTAGCATACATGTATTTTTTTAGCCACTGTCAGTTTTCCTTTAAACTTTTTCTTATCCAGCTCTTCTATTTCAATTGGTTTTCATTGGAAATCATTTGTTTATGGTCTATTAAGTTCAATTTCATTGTATCAACCGTCATTGTATTGGATATTAAGAAAATCCACTTCATCGGTTTCAGTTTCAGTTTTTTTGGATGTGGCATTTTGTAGTCTACATCTTTCTTTTTTTTTTTTTTTTTTGTTACAATATTACAAAGAACAGTTTGATTCTAGTCATTGCAAGAATAATACTATTGTTTCAACTTTATTTTATGCTGCAATGTCTGCCTTGGTTTGAGTTTCGTTTACTAACTTGATTAGTTGTCTGTCAATAATGAAGAACAGAACTTTTGTATATTGTTGTATTGCAGTCACTTGAATGTTTTAACGTGTGGACTTTTATTAACTGGGTATATTACATTGTTGATTATCCATACATTTCCCATTGTTGAAACCTACATGTTTGTGAAATTTACCTGTTTCGGAAAAAAAAAATGATTCTTCTATCGATAGTGCCTAAAAATTGATCTTGGGTCTTTTAGTGCAGAAACAAGAAGGGATAAATCCAATTCCTGTTGAAGTTAAATCAATTCATTATTTCATCAAACGCAACAAGCTCCAACTGAGCCTTCATTATTGGGCCAAGACCAATTGTAAGTTCTTGCCTGCAATTGAAGAGTAATGCTTTATGTTGTACTAAACAAAAAATAAGGAGAAATAAGACATAAAAAATCTCTACCTAGTGTTATAAGGATTTTAGTTGTCCAAAAGATCATAGTAATAGAGGAATGAGATATCGGCATTGTCCATTTGACAAAATGGCATTGAATGTGCATGCTCTTTGTAACATTATTATTGCTTAGACTTTGTATTGAGAAATTAGGAAATCACAAATTCGAACAATTTTCCTGGTTAATTTGAGTATATTTCTTAAAATGATAAGAGAATGAGAAATGTCAAATTTATAATATAGGCGTATTTTCTCTCAGTAATAATGGTGTAAGCTTTGGTGCTCTCGCATCTTATGAAGTGTTAGTTATTTGTATTTCCTAGGTATTTGTGAGCATATATTTAGATGCCTGAACTTGGATTTCTTGTTTAGGACACTGAAAGGCGCGTTTATTTTACGCTTCTTAACTGTGAAAGAAAATTTTTTTTTTAAATTTAGAGTTATTGTTTAATATAAATAGGCCATAGCTGACTTAGATGCCAGGACTTGTTTT